CCGCCCGTCACGTGACGGCGGCGCCATCCGGGACGCGTTTTCCCCACTGGAATTGCGGGGGGGGGGAGGCGGGAGGGGAGAAGAAGAAAGAAAAGGCAGGGAAAAAGGAGGGGAAAAGGAGAGGAAAAGGGAGGCGGCTTCCGGCCGGCGAGAACCGGGACTAGGAGCGGCGACGGGGCCCCCCCGCCGCCGCCGCTGCTGCGTCATGGCCGCCCCCCCACCCTACACGCGCTGAGGGCAGCGCCCCCTGGCGGCGGTGCGTGAGGGGGGGGGAGCCGGCCCCGCGGGGCTCATTAGTGACATTAGTAATAATTACATAAAACTTGCGTCCCCGGGGCGGCCGTGACGCCGCCACCGAGATACAAGTGTTTTCCCTTGGAATCGCGGTTCGGCGGTGTCAGGGCGTGACAAAGAAGCGGTTAAAACAATAAATAAACGTGCGAAGGGAAGACGCGGCCGTCGGAGCAGGCGGGATGTTTCTTAATTAAAAATGTCCCCTAGAAAGTTACTTTCTTTTTTTTTTTCCCTTTTCCGGTCTGCCTCCCTGCCTCGCGGGGCTTTTCGGGACGTGGGACTCGGGTTTTTTCCAGCGTCAGCAATGCCAGGGAAAAATACGATTTATTAAAAAAAAAAAAAAAAAAAAAGAGGGAACAGCCACATGTATTCCCATGGGTTCCCATTGGGAAGAGCCTCAGATCCATGAGGGGAGAACCATCTCCCGTGTGGCCAGGCTCGACTGAGGGTCCAAATCGTCATGGGGATGAGGCAAATCCAAGGAAACAACTGGAAAACGGCATTCCAGCAGTGCTGCGACTGACACAGGGCTCTGGGGAGGTGCTGGTGGCTGGGGAGCTGTCATCAGGGCTAATTAGTCCTAATTAGCCCCATCACGCAGACCAATTAACTCCATGGTGCCCACAGGGCTCAGTACCATCTCCCCAGGCTATAGAGAAGGAAAAAAAAATGGGATTTCAAATCCGGAATAAAAGGAAAAATCCTTAAATATTGGTTAAATATTCCGATTTTTAACATGTAGTTGAAGGTAAGTTCCTGTACGTGCTTAATAATTATCATTCTTTTAATTGTAGCTCAGACTGAAGGTGAGGAGAAGCTCAGGGATGCTCCAGGCTTGGGATGCTCTGCTGGGAAAGGTCCATGAGGAATGGATTTTGGGAAGTGGAGGATGATGAGGAGAAAATGGGATGGGATGTTGTAGTTGCCTCATCACCCACCCACCCCCACCCCCGAGCCTGGGGCTTGTCCCTCCTCATGGAGTAAGGAGGAGAGAGAATGCTTTCCCAACCCAGTCTCCCAAATTCCAAGAAATTCCAAGATTTCTCTCCTTCATCCTTTGCATTCTCCCCCTGAGCCATTTGGGGTGAGAAATGGTGATTTTTGAGGCAGCCTCTGGAGCTAGCTGTGCCCATCAAAGGGGAGCCGAAGAATTCCAGCTGGTTTTTTCGGCTCCAAAATATTATTATCCCAAAGAAAAGGTGTATTTCAGGGCCGGAAGAGCCTCTCTCTGCACATTCCAGCCTCGGGAAGTCTGAAAGGTGCTGGAGCAGCCACTCTGGGAAGGGAAAAAAATCTCCTCGAGTCAGCTGGAATGGCAGCCAGAGGTTTGCAGCCCGGAGAGCTGACCTTAAACTTTTCCAGGGCTGGAAAGGGAGAAACCAGCTCACCCTGGCCTCGGGAATTAGGAAAATGTTGTCAGCCTGGAATTGCGCCGCAAGGAAAAGCCTCCGGAGCACGATCCAGGCGCCCGTCTCCAGCTGTGTTATCCGGTGAAAGCAGCACATGGAAACTATTCTGCCCCGTCAGGAGCTTGTCCTCTCCCAGATTCCTGGTTCTTGGCTCCCAGATTTTGTTATCATCCCAAAATACGGTCATGGCCTACTGCAGGAGCACATCCAGCCAGGCTGGGAACTGCCAGGGAATGGGAGAAGGAGGAGAAGGAGAAGAAGGAGAAGAAGAAGGAGAAGGAGAAGGAGAAGAGCAGCCATGCTCCTAGAAAGGCCTTTTTTTTTATTATTTTGGGGCTTTTTAAGGAAGTTTTCCCTTCCCTCCCCTCGCACAACCCTGGGATGCATTTCCCTGCCCGACTCCACATCCATCCGGAGCTCCCGCCAAGCCAAACATCCTCCATCCGCTGGCAGCAGCCCTGAATGTCCCTCCTTGTTCTGCCTGGAGAGATCCAACCCATCCCAAGCTCCCATGGAAAGGCTGTACCCCAAAAAAAATCCGGGAGCTCAATCCCCCAAAGGATGCAGAGATCCATCTCCCCCTCAGGAGACAGATCCATCTTGGGAAATCTCCCTCTGTGGGGCAAGGACTGGGAAGGGTTTTGGTGGGTGCAGCTCAGCAGGATGCTCAGGGGTGAGGATTCCTAGGGATGAGGGTGTTCCAGGGTGAGGATTCCAGGGGGAAAAAGGATGCTCAGGGATGAGGATTCCCAGGGGAAAGGACGCTCAGGGTGAAGTTTCCTTGGGGGGAAGGATGCTCAGGGATGGGGATGCTCAGGATGAGGATGCTCCAGGGGTAATGAGCCACCTCCCAAGCAATGTAAGGCAGGAAAGTAAAACTCTTGATAACAGATTCTTGCCCCACCAGACCCAGAGCTCTCCTGGATGGCTCCAGATGAGCATTCCCACCATCCACACATCCATTGGGTGCTTCACTCTGGTGCCATCCTTTATATCATCCTTTAATTGTGCTAAATCCAGCGGAATGTGGGAACATGCAGAATGTCAGGAGAACATGCACAAGCAGGGGGATGAATCCCCCTGGGAAGAGCCGAATCCCAGCTCTTCCCAGCGCTCCTACACCAGGATGGAAGGTGTGGCTGGTGGAGCAGGGAATATTCCCATCTCCACACGCAGCCGGGAGGTCACGGCGAGGGAGATCCATAGGGGATTCCCACTGGGGAGGTTTAAGGAGCAGGGATAGCGCTGGGATTCCTCCTTTGCCCAGCTTGCCAAGGGGGGCACCAGGAGCCAACCAGGTGGATGTTTGTGGAGTTTTCCAGCCCTGATCAATCCCAGGGGATAAAGGCCATGGACCTCAATCCCCAGCAGGCTCCAGGGAGATTCTAAGCATCCAAAGGGAAGCAGAGGCATGTTTTTAGGGAGCCGGGGTCCAAGCAAGCCCAGGCCAGCGGGGAGGAGAGCGGGAAAGGCCAGGAGCCTCCCTCCTCCCACGTGCTCTGCTTCACTGCCTTCCTAAAGGAAAGAGCAGGAATCCTAAGGAAATCAGGTGGCTGTAGGACATCATCCCTCCTGAGCTGGGGGTGAGGACGGAGCCCCACTTCCCGCTTCTTTTCCACCTCGTTTGGGTTTTCCTCCTGCACACAGGCAGGTGTCAATCCACCTGGGAAGCACCTCAGGACAGGACGCTGAGCGGGGCCCGGGAGCCGCCAGTGCCGCCGCCGCCTCCCCTAAAACTCATAGGCGGAGACAAAGAGGGTGATTTTGGACAAGTGCTTGGCCTGGAAGACCCGGTCCAGGTACTCGGACATGTCCACGTCCACCTGGACGGTCTGGGGGCCCTGCAGGCTCTGCACCAGGATGAGCTCCCCGGTGTGCCGGTCCGAGCGCTGCACCACGAAGTGCCCGCGGCTGTTCCCGCCCGCGATCCCGAAGCGGAGGCTGTCGGGGCCCGGCCGGCCGGGAGCCGCCGCCGTGGCCATGCGGAACAGCGGCGTGGGAGCCACGAGCCGGGAGGGCAGCGGCAGGTAGTGGAAGGAGATGGTTTTGGGAGCGTGGTGGCACGACCGGCTCTCCATCGGGCAGGGGTTGCGCTCGCACTGGCTGCGGAGGGGAAAAGCGAGGGAGGAGGTTTTTGGGGATGCGGGGTCCCCGTGCCCCACACCTGCCTCGGTGTTGCATCCATAGGGATGCCGTGCCGTGGGTTTTGTGCCAAACCACACTTACAAGGGGGAGGTTTTGACGTAGGAGACGTTCCCGACGGCAGGGGGGCACCGGGGGGTGACACACTGGAACCCCCCCCCGGTGTTGATGCAGGTGCTCCCGCCCGTGCAGTTATCCTGGGAGAGGGAACACTCGTCGATGTCTGGAAAACAGGGGCGGGCGGCAGGTCAGGACCCTGGGAGACTCCAACCAACCTCGCTTTTAGGTGCATTCCAGTGGAAAATAGGCAAAACCACCTTGAAATGGGTCAAATAGGACTCAGAAAATATGGGAGTATGGCTGGGAGCATCCCAAAATCCCATCTCCTCTCCCCAGGCTCTGCCCTGGGCCAGCAAGGGTTAATGGCAGCAGGAGGGCAGCTGCTTTTCCAAACTTTCTGCTCAAGTTGTTTGGACACACCATCCCCTTTTATTTACTAAACACCCGTGGGACACCTGGAGGAGCTGGAATGCAAAGGGTTTGCTGGGAGCAAAAACAAGATGCCACGGAAGGCGTGGAAATCAGGGAGAAAAGGGGAAATCGGGATTTTCTCACCCTGAACTGCAGCAATCAACACATTCCAGCAGAAAATTTCCCTGTTTTTCAGGAGGAGGCTTTCAGCAGGGCTGGCCTCCCACCGTTCCCACCCGCTTCCCAACTTCCCTGGGACTGGGGGAGAGGACACTGCCCTCCGAGCTGGTGCCCTGCTGTGGAATTCTGGGGTTCTAATATTATTTTTGGTTCTTCCCAGGGATTCCCTGTTTTGGAGGCATCCCCATTTTCAGGGAGGTGCAGCCCCAAAGCATCACTCCATCATCTTCCCCCCCGCCCCCCCGGGAGGGGAAGGAGAAAGGGGAGAAGGGAGACAGAAAAAGGAAAAGGGAAAGGAGAGAGAGGAGCTTCCAGAAAAGCATTTTCTTTTAATTTTGGGGGCTCTTTGAAGCCCTCAGGTGGAGATTTCCCTTTCCTCCCTCCCCCAGCACAACCCCGGGATGCGTTTCCCTGCCCAGCTCCCCATCCAGCCGGAGCTCCCGCCAACCCAAACATCCTCCATCCGCCTCCATCCCCAAAAACGTCGCTCCATCCTCACCCTCCCCTCTGTGCCAACCCCCTCGGATTTCTGCCTGTGGAAATGGAGAGAAAGGGGAGGGGGAAATGAAAAATCCCTTGGGAACACATGGATTCCAGCCCCCCCCCCTCACCTTCGCAGCTCTTGCCGTCTCCCAGGAGGATGTATCCGGAGGGGCAGGAGCAGCGGAAGGAGCCGGGAAGGTTGACACAGGAATGGGCACAGAGCCGGGGACCCCCGTCCCGCTGGAACACCTCACACTCGTTGAGGTCTGCGGAGAACAGGGATTAGCCAGGATCCCACAGCATCCTGCTGGGAAAACTCGGGAAGAGTGGGAGGCGAGGCGGGTTGGGAACTGGGCGGTGGCAGATCCCAGGGGATTGGGATCAGCAGCACAGAGTCCCCCAAGGGTTGATACTGAGCCCAGTTTTAACTTGTCCATCCAGGACTTGGATGAAGGGGTTGGAGCCTCCTCAGCGAGGTCCCTGCCAACACAAAACTGGGAATAGTGGCTGATCTCCCGGGGTGCTGTGCAGCCCTTTGGAAGGACGTGGGCAGGCTGGAGAGGAACTGTCTGGAATTCCATAGTGGCAAATGCAGGTCCTGCACCTGGGGAGGAACAACCCCAGGCACCAGCACAGGCTGGGAAGCAGCTCCATGGAGAAGGACCAAGCTGTCCGTGCCCAGCAGTGTGCCCTGGGAGCCAGGAAGGCCAATGGGGTCCTGGGATGTACTGGGAAGAGCACTGGCAGCGGGTCAGGGAGGGGATCCTTCCCCTCTGCTCAGCCCTCTGAGGCACATCTGCAGTGCCTGGTCCAGGTCTGGGCTCCTCAGGACAAGGACATGGAGCTCCTGGAGCAGGTCCAGAGGACATGAGGAAAGGACTGGAGCATCTCCTACAAGAGGTGAGGGAGCTGGGGCTGTTCAGCCTCAGGAAGAAGCTGAGAGGGGACCTTATCCATCTTTATCATTATCCAGAGGGAAGTGTCAGAGGCTGGACCGGGGGGGCCCAACAACAGGACAAGAGGGAATGGGCAGGAACTGGTGCCCAGGAAGCTCCACCTGAACACTGGAGCACAATACCCAGGGAGGGCACGGAGGCTCCCTCCCTGGAGATATTCCAGAGCCACCTGGACACAACCCTGTGCCACGTGCTCACCCGCTGTGGTCCTTCCAACCCGCCCCGTGCCGTGACTCCACGAGGGCCCCGCATCCCCCGCCCGTGTCCCGGTTCCCAGCGTGGCTCACCCTGGCAGAGCCCGTTGGCGGCCGTTCCGTTCATGTGGAAGCCGGGATCGCAGCTGCACTGCTGGGCCTGGGCCACCTGGGCACAGCGGGGCTGGCGGCTGAACGCGGGATCGTCCGTCACGCTCCAGGCGGGAGGAGCTGGGGGGACACGCCGGGGTGAGGAAGGGGCACGGAGCACCCCCAGCTCACCCCCCCGGGGAAGGGTCACCCACCCGTCTGAGCCCGGTGCTGGCAGGTGGCCCCAGTCCACTGCTGGGGGCAGAGGCACCTGAACTGGTTGAGCCCCTCCAGGCACGTCCCGCCGTTCTGGCAGGGGCTGCTCGAGCACTCGCTGATCTCTGCGGGAAAAGCAGCCGCGTTCCACGTTACCTTCCTTTGGGAACGCCGCCCGCGCCGGGATGCTCCGGACCCCGCAGTGCCCCGATGCTTTTTCCCCCCTCATCTCTGCTGCTGAGCCGCTGGGGAGGCTTCAGCTGTAATTCCCAGTTTTCCTTGAACAGCATCCCCGGGGATGTTGGGAGGCAGCTGTGATCCCTCCCCGTTTGGTGAGCCCCCAAAGCTCCCCATACTCAAATAAGGCCACGGTACATCCTGCTCTTCCAAGCACCGTTCCCAGGCAGGGAAGAAGTGGTACCTTCACAGCGGGGCTCCTGCCCGCTCCAGGTGCCGTTGGCCTGGCACATCCGTGTGCTGGAGCCCAGGAGCTGGAAACCCGGGTCGCAGGTGAAGTGAACCTCGTGCTCCACCAAGTACTTGGTGCCGAACTTCCTCCCATCCGTGGGGGCTTGGAGGGCAGGACAGGAGACTGCGAGACCACAGGGAGAGGGGTCAGCTGGGGGGGGGGGGCTTATCCTTCCCATTCCCAGCTCTCCTGAGCTCACCCAGTCCCTCCAAGCCTCCCTTTACATGTTGTTTTCCTGGAATATTGTCCCGCTGACAACATCCAGCCCCGCAAGGAGCGCCTGGCAGGGATGTTGGGGCTGGCAGGGAATTGGTGACATTTTTACACCACCACCCCCCAATCCCAGCACCAAACTGTGGCCTTTTTGCTGGAGACACCAGTTTTCCAGCCCGCTCCTGTGCTTTGCCAGGAGCTCTTGGCTTTGCCGGTGAGGGCTTCTCACCCTTTTCACCCTCCCCAGGCCGGAGAAGCTCTCCAATTTACAGCAGGAATTGCCAACCTGAATCCCGGTGACTCCACGCCCAGACTTCCACCTGTCCCGGCCCTGAGCATCCCGAGCTGCCCGTGCCCACCCCGGGTGCTCCGAGGCCGTGGGAGGCCGGGAAAGACTCACCGGTGGGTGCCTCTGGAGCTGCCTTGGCCAGGGTGGAGTGGAGGGAGCTGAGCCGGCTCCTCATGACACGGAGCCCCTCGGAAAAACGCGTCTCCTGCCCCTTCAGCAGCTGCTGCATCTGCCGGATGGCGGCCAGGAGCTGCTGCCTGCTGAGGCAGCTCTGCGGGAACAGGGATGGGGACGGGGATGGGGATCCCGCTCCGGTGCCGGTGCTGCCGCACCACCCGGGATCCAACTACTGATTTTGTATTCCCCCCCCCCCCCCCCATTTACGCAGATTCAGGAGTTTTTTCCACCTGGGCAAGAAGTCCTCAGCCCAGGCTTCCTCCCTGGAATGTACCCGGGTTACGCCGCGCTCCGGGCAGAGCTGGGATGGCTTTGTCAGCCCTGGGAGAGATGCTATAACTCATGTTTCGTCCTGCTGGAGCTCCAGAGCCCCGTCCCGCTGCCACATGACAAAACAAGAGGAAAACAGCTGTCTTGTGAGCTCTGCCGGGGCCAGGAACGCTGGTGGGACTCCTGCCTGCAAACCGATCGCTCCCTCGGGACTGACTCATGCCGGAGACGGGCACCGTTATTATGGGATTCCTGTGGAATTGACTTAAAACCGAGGCAAAAAAAAAGCAAAGCGAGAGCTCAGAGATCCAAGGCAGCGCAGTGGGGAGACAGCACAGAGGGGCTGTGGAGCTTTGGGAAAGTAAGTTGAGCCGGTGGGCTCTGACCCACCTGGCTCAAGGGATTCCTTCCCCCTCTTTCATAACCACACCGAAACGATTCCCGCTTCCAAAACGGGAGGAGAAACACGCCAGCGCCAGCAAAGAACGCACTGGGTGTCCTCTGGTTCCCTGGGAGCAGTTTCGGGGGTCCCGGGCTGCCGGTGGGGATGAGCCGGACTGTGCCGGCAGCTCTGGGATACCCCGCTCCCAGAGGAAGGGAGGTAAAAGCAAATAGATGCTGGCGCGTCGCTGGCTTTAATAAACAGCTCTTTGTTAGGGCTGGGTTTAACTCCGGGAGCCAGCGCGAGCTCCGGCGGGATGCTGAGCCATCGCGAAGCCGTGAAGTCCCCGCCAAACCCCCCAAACGGGCATTCTTTGCTGCCGGTGTGCTCGGGGGCAGCTTCAGGTGTGGGGTAAGGGGGTGGGGGGGAAATAGCCCGAAGGAAGCCGGGCGCGGTTTAAGCGCGGTTTCAGCGCGGTTTGGGACTTCGCCCACCTGTTTGCCGGGGCCCGGGGCAGGAGCGGGGATTGCACCGCAGGACTGTCGGGGCGCTCCGGCTCCGGGGAGGGGGCGGGAAGGGGAGAGGAGCCCCGTGCCCCCCCATAAAGCCCCTCCCGGGGTCCCGCTCCCCGCTCACCTGGGCGGCCGGCGCGGCCGGGAGCGGCAGCAGCAGCGGCAGCAGCAGCAGCAGCAGCGGCGGGAGGCGGCCCCGCGGCCCCGGCACCCCCGGCATGGTGCGGTGCGGCCCCGCCGCTCTCCGGGACCGGCTCCCCGCGCTCTCCCCGCCCCGCCCGCGCCGCCCCCGCGCTGCCCCGTGCAGGGGACGCGGCGCTTCCCCGCCCCGGCGCCGGCACGGCCCCGCACATCCATCCCATAGGACACGGGCACGGCCCCGCACATCCATCCCATAGGACACCGGCACGGCCCCCCGCATCCCATAGGACACCGGCACGGCCCCGCACATCCATCCCATAGGACACCGGCACGGCCCCCCGCATCCCATAGGACACCGGCACGGCCCCGCAAATCCATCCCATAGGACACGGGCACGGCCCCGCACATCCATCCCATAGGACACGGGCACGGCCCCGCCATCCATCCCATGGGACACCGGCACGGCCCCCCGCATCCTATAGGACACCGGCACGGCCCCGCACATCCATCCCATGGGACACCGGCCGGCTCCGGGCATCCATCCCATGGGACACCGGCACGGCCCCGCCATCCATCCCATGGGACACCGGCACGGCCCCCCGTATCCCATAGGACACCGGCACGGCCCCGCACATCCATCCCATGGGACACCGGCCGGCTCCGGGCATCCATCCCATGGGACACCGGCACGGCCCCCCGCATCCCATAGGACACCGGCACGGCCCCGCACATCCATCCCATGGGACACCGGCATGGCCCCGCCATCCATCCCATGGGACACCGGCCGGCTCCAGGCATCCATCCCCCGGGACACCGGCCCGTCCCCACAGGGGTTGGGCTTTTTCCCCCGAAAACCTGTTTCTGCCGCTGCCGTGTGGAGCGAGCACCCCCGAAGGTCCCCCCGCTCCGCCTGGGCCAGGACCACCTGCCCCGGCTCGGGACCCACTTTCCCAGCTCTGCACCTTCTCCCAGCCCGGTACTCCCTTCTCCAGCCCCTTTCCCGCCCCCTGGAGAGGAGGGAGGTGCTGCACAGAGCGCAGGGTCCGGCTCCAGTCGCTGCCTGAAGGGAAGCAGCAGAAATCCCCCCAAAACAGAGAATGGGCAGCAGGGAAGGGCCAGGCCATGGCTGGGGGGCTCCAGCCCTCCCGGGACACCCCTCACAGACTCCTGTTTCCCCGTTGTTGTGACAGGACTGACGGTTCCTCAGCACGTGGATGGATGGGAACCTGCTCTCTGGGAGCAAGGAATGCAGGAGCACACACTGCTCCTGTTGGGGTTCCTGCTGCCATTTTCCATGATTTCTTGCAGCATGAAGTCCCCCAGCAGGTTCTATAGCAAGAGCCTAGACCATCCCAAAATCCTCAACACACGGTGGAAAAGTGGGAAAACACCAGGCCCTGCAAGGCTCGCTGCCCACTCAGTGTGGGGAGCTCCAGCCCCTCGGCACCGCTCGCCCCACCCCGCTCTGGTCCTTCTGGGAAAGAAAAACAATTACAGAAAAATAATTACGGCGTCGATTCCAAACCCTCGGTACTTCAGCCCAAGGAAGGAGCTCCCGGGAAGGGCCAGACTCCGCCAGGAAAACCGTGCAGGAGATAACAAGTAAAAGAGACGACCGTTTATTAAAATACACCCTCTGTGTCCTTGTCCTGGTGCCCGCTCACACCTTTCCCTGCGGCACTTCCGAGTCCTCCCCGCGGCTCTCGGCCCGCGGCGGCTCCGGTGCCGGCAGAGTGCTGGCCTGGCTCCAGCGGCTCCCTGGCTCCGAGCCGGCCCCGGGCAGCAGCGGGACATAGGGATCCTCGGCCAGGCCACCCAGCTGCTCCTCCACCACGTACCTCGTCCCCCACGGCTCGCCGGGATGCACATCCACGGCCACCAGCGCCGCCTCCGTGCCGGGAGAGCCGGGCTCCGACACCTCCCCGGCGTCCAAGTCCGAGTCCGCCTGCGGGAAGCCCGAATCCTGGGTGGAGTCCGGGCTCTGCTCGGGCAGGCTGGTGTTGATGTAGATGGCCTCCCCGGAGCCCTTGGAGCTGGGCAGGTTCTCCAGCAGCTTCTCCAGGTGGACCTTGAGCTGGGAGAAGGTGGGGCGGGTGGCAGGGTCGGCTCTCCAGCACGCAGACATGACTTCGTACCTGGAAATGGGAGAGGAGCATGGTTATCTCAGAGGATCCCAGAACCCCAGAATCCCAGACTGGTTTGGGCTGGAAGGGACCTTAAAGCCCATCCAGTTCCACCCCCAGCCATGGGCAGGCACACCTTCCCCTATCCCAGGTTGCTCCAAGCCCTGTCCAACCTGGCCTTGAACACTCCCAGGGATGGGGCAGTCACAGCTTCTCTGGCAGCCTGTATTTCTCTGGATTAAGGGAGATAGGGGGTTAATTCCCAGCTTCCCTCCAAACTGGGCAAGCTTTGAGCTCTCCATGAAAACCAAGCGAAAACAACTCCCTCTGCTCGGGCTGTTTCCAAAGGGCAGGGACTGATCAGCCCAAGCTGCTGTCAGAAGTGTTACAAGTCTCTCCCAGCACAGCCCCGGGATCTGTTCCCTGGGAACATCCCAGTTCTGCATCAGGGATGCCCAGTCCCTCTCTTGGCAGGTGCCTGCTCCCAGGCTGGATGTCAGGGAGCACTGGGAGCTCCCAGCAGGTCCCAGCCGGGCACACACTGCCTCTCCACCCTCGGGCAGGTGGGATCTAAAAACGTTCCTTCGCCGGTTCCTTCAGGAACAGGCACTGGAAGAGGAGCCTTTTAGGAAACGTTGCACAACTCAGTTTATCCGGTTTGGATTCTTAGCCACGGGGAGATTAAACATTTTCAGCTCCAGTGGCACCAGAGGAAACTCAGGAAGGAAACTCGGGAGAAAAGCCTTTGCTGAGCTGCTCAGAAATCCAGGTTCGAGGTTTCCAGATTTATGGATTTGAGGCCATGAAGGGCCCTAGAGGGGGGTTTTGTGGGGCACAGAGGAGCATCACCAGCCAGGAAGGACCTTCTGGCTAAAACTGTCTTAACCAAAAAAATAAAGAAATAAAGCACTAAAAAAATCCTGTCCCTGACTGCTCCTGGTGACTTCAGCTCATCTGTGCAAAAAACCATCACTTCTGCCTGGGGGACACCTGTTGGGATTGTTGCCTGGAGTTCAGCTGCTTTTCCCTCTCTGGGTGACACAGGATGTGGCTTCCCTTAAGCACATCAAAACTTGGGAGACTGAGCTCATTCCCAGGATGCTTTCATCCAGAACGCGGTGGAGCCCGGGAGCGGGGTTCCGGTACTCACAGCTCATCCGAGCAATCCTCGGGCTTCTTGAGGCGCTGCCCGTGGAAGAGGAACTCGTAGATCTCGTGGTTCTGCACCCCCGGGTAGGGCGTCATCCCGCGCGTCGCGATCTCCCACATCGTGACGCCAAAGGCCCACTGAGGGGACAAAGGGAAAGGACAGCGCTGAAAGGACACTCCGGGGGGAATGAATGACCCTTTTCATGGGCAAAGGTCACTGCCCGGCGTGCCAGGCACAACGGGCAGAGCTGTCACCCTCCCAAAAACCGGGAATAACAAGCGCCGGCGTGGCAGGGGCGAGCCGTGGGGACAAACCCACGGCATGAGGCCGGGCCGGCAGGGAAAGGTCACCCACAGCCTCCCGCCCCTCTGGCACTTCCAGGGAACGACAACAGCTGGAGCACAGGGTTTGGTTCCCAGTTTTTCCTCCACCTACCACGTCGCTCTTGGTGGTGTAGACACGGTCGGCCAGGGACTCGATGGCGATCCACTTCACCGGCATCTTGGCTATCCGGCCCTGCCGGTAGTAATCCCCGCTGTAGATCTTCTTGGACAAGCCAAAGTCTGCCACGCACACCGTCATGTCATCCCGCAGCCTGCCGGGGGAAACCAGGGAAAGCTCCATCCCGGAGCACAAACCCGGGGCTGAGCTCTGCCTCCCGAGAGCGAGGGAGGTTGTAGGGAAGGGAGCCGAGCCGGGCCGTAAATCCCCAGGATTTTCCGCCAGTGTTCCCAGGAAAACAAACTCACATGCAGTTCCGAGCCGCCAGGTCCCTGTGCAGGAAGTTCCTGCTGCTCAGATACTCCATCCCCAGGGCGATGTCCACCATGAACTTCACCAGCGTCTGCAGGGGCACGAACTGGGAAGGGAAGGTGGGGATTAGGCAGCGTGAGGCCTTTGGGAAGCACGTGGGGGCTGATCCAAAAGGCTTCCCTGTCCAGGGCTGCCAGCTGACATTCCAGACGTTCATCCCTCAGACTGGGCCATTCCTTGAACCACGAGCCTGCAGGGGCTGCGGAGGGGGATTCCTTTCCCACCCCAATCCCACCTTGCTCCTCTGCTGCGGGTGCTCCCTACCTGGGGGGCCATCTCCAGCCGGGAGCGGAGCAGGAAGCTGTGCAGGTCCCCATATTTCATGAATGGCAGGATCACCATCGGCTTGGGGATCTGCTGGGAGCTCAGCTCGATGCACACTCCTGGGAAAAACACAGACAGCTTGGAAAAGGTACCACGGTCTCCCATGGATCCGTGCAGGATCCAGGCCAGGCTCCCCAGCCCAAATCCCAGCTGGAGGGCAGGGAGTGACATTCCATACCCAGGAGCTTGATGACATTGGGATGGTCAAAGTCCTTCATGCACGCTGCTTCGCTGAGGAACTCCTCTATCTCCCTCTGGGAAAAGTTATCCACTGGGAAGCAGAGAAAAAGAAGGAGGTTTAACACCGAGCGTTGCTGCTGCCACCTCCCCTCACAGCACAGCTCCTGCATGGGAAAGGGATCACCGGGATGGTTCCACCATCCTTGGACGTCTGATAGGAGCGTCCCTTCCTGATGGCACCAGGAGCTGTGGCAGAGGGGCCACAAATTGGTGCCAGGGTGCTGTTCCTGAGAGAGGTAGTGGGAATGCCGGCATCCAGTGGGATAAACACAGTCCTGGGAGGACTGGGAATTACTTACACTTCATGGTCTTCACAGCCACCTTCTGTGGGACACCTTCGGGCTGGCTGAGGCGTCCCTCCATCACTGATCCGAACTCCCCTGTGCCACGGGAAAGAAGAAATCCCTTTATCCACAGCCCAAAGCACCATCTTTCGGGACACTGCTATGTCCCTGAAAAGATGGAGACCTCACCCCCAAAAAAAACCAGGGGAAGGCTTGTTCCTTATCAGTGAACACAAGGAGAACAACCTGGGCTCATGGAAGGTTCTCTGCCCGTGGCAGGGATTTGGAACAAGATGAGTTTTAAGGTCCCATCCAACCCAAACCATTCCAGGATTCCGTGATTCTATGAACCCAGGGCACTTGGTTGCCTTGTCCCACCATCTCCCCACATTCCCTGGGCCTGGAGCTGGGGGTGATGTAGGGAAGAGCAGCAGCCCCATATCCCATATGTCCACTCCCAGCTCTCCACTCACCCTCTCCCAGGACCTTCCCCAGGCTCAGGGCGTTTCTGTCCACGACCACATCCTGCAGCTTCTGCTGGAGTTCCCTGCTGACTCCCAGGCTTCCCACTGCAGGAGAAGGGAACAGCAGCTCAGTCACCTCCAACCTGCTGCCCCAACCCCCTGAACCTCCTTGCAAAGGGATAACAAGTCATCCTTACGCGTGAGCTCCACGGCTCTCCGGCAGTAGGACTTCTTGGCCGTGTAGCTCACCGCCAGCTCCAAGTCGTTCCCGCTGAAAGCATTCCTGGTGGGACAGAAACACACCTTGCTGGGACGCATGTGGCAGCTCGGATGAAGGAATTGGCTACCCGTGGGATCCGTAGGGAAGGAGGAAATGCCCGTTTTTCATTTCCCCCTGGCTGGACCAGCTCCATCGCCTACAACGGCCCGGCAAAACAGCCGCTCCATAAAGGAGGCCTGGGTGTCAAGGAGTGAGTCACAGAGGTTTTGGGGAGGAAATAGGATACTCATTTCCTACTCCAGGAGCAGTCTGTGCCAGCAGGAATGCTGCTGGAGACGCTGCAACAGCCCCTCTGCTGCAGGGCCCTGCTGAGGTCCAGCTCTGGGGAGCAAAAGCAGGGCAGGATGCTCCGGGGCTGGAGCAGGGAAAGAGTGACAACGCTACACCAGTTCAGAAAGGGATCCTTACACACCACCAGTTTCCAAACTGGGAGCACGGGGCAGTTAATGCCACTTGGGAAGTCACAAGGATGAGTGAGTAGTGTTGGCTTATTGTAGGGGAACACAGCCCTTTGTCTGTGTTATTTAAACAACACTGGGCCGTGGAACCGGAGCGTGGGATGAGGCAGGAGGGGTTTCTCTAGGCCACAGGATATTATAGAATCATGGAATATCCTGGGTTGGAAGGGACCTACAGGGATCATCACGTCCAGCTTCTGGCCCTGCACAGGACACCCCAGGACACAGCAATCCCACCCTGTCCCTGAGAGCGTTGTCCAAACCCTCCTGGAGCTCTGGCAGCCTTGGGGCTGTGCCCACTGCCCTGGGGAGCCTGTTCAGTGCCCAACCACCCTCTGGGGAGGAACTTCTTCCTGAGATCCAACATAAACCTCCCCGGA